TTAGAAGATGGCAGTCTAGAGACCAAAATGGACTGGGATTTAAATCAGCCTCTCAAAAGCGAGCAAGTAAGGAGGTGTAGGGGATTCGAAGAGGAGCATTATTTGATTGTAGTGAGACCAAATAATCCAATTGTTAGGGGGACTTTCATTTCGAATGAACGTGCATGAAGAAGAGATTTGCTGGTTGATCTCATCAAATGAGGATGGATGAAAATCGTTGTACTGCAGCCGTTTGGCTTTTATACGATATTCATGTTGACGAAGTCCACAAGTCTTCCTTCCTCGTTTCGAGTGAAAACGTGCTGAGCTTTCGTCCATCATTCGATGGACCTCATCAGAGCTGGGTTTTATTTTGTTAACGTGAGACTCTTACAAGAATGAAACACAGCTCTTATGATGTCCATCGAATGATGGACGAAAGCTCAGCACGTTTTCACTCGAAATGAGGAAGGAAGACTTGTGGACTTCGTCAACATGAATATCGCATAAAAGCCCGGCTGCAGTACAACGATTTTCATCCGTCCTCATCTGGTGAGATCGACAAACGAATCTCTTCTTCATGTAATTTCATTCGAAATGAAGGTCCCCCTAACAATGTTATCTCAAGAGATTTATCGTAACCATGTTTCTCTTCGTATCTTAGCACGTTTTCACCCGAAACGAGGGTGAAAGACTCGTGGACTGCGTCAACATAAATATCATATAAGAGCCGAACAGCTGCAGTACAATGAGTTTCATCCGTCCTCATTTGATGAGATCAACCAGCAAATCTTTTCTTCATGCACTTTAATTCGAAATGAAGGTCCCCTTAACAATTGGATTCTTTTGTCTCACTACAATCAAATAATGCTCCTCTTCGAATCCCCTACACCTCTTCACTTGCTCGCTTTCGAGAGGCTGATTTAAATCCCAGTCAATTTTGGTCTCTAGACTGCCATCTTCTAAGCAAGCAAAATGCCTCGATGTTCTCCTGCGCCACTTGGATGCTTCCCCGTGGCGACAAAACAGGCACCCATCACAGCATGGCGATGAGTAAAGCATAAATTAGCGGCAAAATGGGATCGCTTCCTTTAATCCTGTCAGATACATAGAGTCCTTTCTGTTTCTCTGCTGTACTTGATTTTTATAAAGCTCAATTGGCATAACATTCAGCATTTCGTTAGGACCAAGCTTATAAATTGTGCTTGGTGGGTACATATGCATTCATAAGCGTCCTCTTGTCTGTCCGCGAGGCGTAGAGGGAAGGGTGGAAATAATGAAATAAAATGATTACTAATCCAGCTCATACGTGGTAATAGTTTATCAAGCCAAAGGGCAGAGTTCAACTTAGAGTAACAGGCACTGTTGCCGTGGTAACTATTGGCTGGTTAATCAGTGTTATTATCTCTCATTGCAAATAGGGCCATCATTGTATTTACTCATCTTCATTTCTAGCAATTGCTGTGATAACAGCCCTCAATCTAAAGTACGGTTGCATTTGAGTAGTAAAAGCTCATGGACTTGAACCATTGCAATGGAATGTATCGTGAAATGACAGGGTTCTTTTTTTCTTCTAGTCACTGACATGAGTTACCATTGACTTCATTTAAATTTCTATTAAGAGGCCCTTTTTTTGCCAACTAAGCCTTTAGGATGAGCATTCTTATTATCGTTATTAGTCTTTTCAGGCTTTTTTAATGCGTTTGATATGAGTAGGCATTTCAGTTTGTGCCCATTATGCTTGGCTTAATTTCAAGAGAGCGGTACAGAGGCTGTGGTTTTACTATTATCCCCCGAGAGGCACTTAATAACATAATTAGGCTTTTCAGCCCAGCCAAAGGATCGGAATTGCATCTTTCTGTCCCATTCCGTATGACTGGCCGTCAAACGGCCATTAACTAAAATCCTCAACGGAATAAAGGATAAAAATGCCCGACAAAGTTGCCTCTCCGCCTGGCCATGCACAATTACAGGTAGCTGACAATGCTAAGTTGTAAGTAGGTTCTCATGTTGACAGAGTTTTTCGGAAAAGAGTCAACATGTACTTGCTATAACTTGATCCTTTGATAATAATTTTCACTTTGACTTGCCTGCTTCTGAATAGGCGGATTTCCTCGCTGCAGTTATTCATACATTTCTCACGTTTCGCAACAGTGACCTTTACTTCCTCCCCTCTCATGCATAATACAATATTTACAATTGTTATATTATTATAATTATACTATAATATAGTGTATAAATTTAAATATATTTGCTATTTTTATATACAATAATATTTTAGCCTATTTGTAATGTATCTACTCATATGTATATACGTGTATGCTTGCAGTTGTGTGTATGTGTGTTTATTCTTAAGGCTAAATGGGCACTTTGTCTTGCCCATTTCTCGCTTAGTTCGCCAGCATAATTGCCCAATTATTGCTTTTGACCACGAGTTTCACACTTCGTTTGGGAAATATACTCCTTAGGCTGCTTGCTATTTGGCGTTTTCTAGTTGGGCGCCCCAAATGCAAAATAGGAATAGATCATACTTTCCCTTCACATCATAGTTTCTCCACACAGGATTGATCGCAATCTCGTCGGAACCACTCTTGTGCCCAGAAGTAAACCATCCTTCAATTGGTTCTGTTATAATGTCAACTTTACGCCTTTATTTGACTCGTTCTGATTTGCCTATATTTACCTATCTTCATCAAGTCAATGTTTATCTTGTCTCAGTTTTCACTCTTCTGTATATTGCTTTGCTGGTGGGTGGGTTCCATTGTTGGCTTGAAAACTTTTTATCTATTTTTTCTGTAAATTGTCTGATTATCGTTTGCTCTTCGGCTGATTTAGATTTCTTCATTCTAAGGAAGTGAATAAAGGAGCGAAATAGCATCCTTTTTCCTTTCCCTTAAAGGCAAACTCGTCCAAATGAATGTTTTCTTACTTTTATTTTGACTCGCCTCTTCTTGCTCTTCTTGCTCAGACGAGTGGCCATTCTGAGCCGCCAGACTTCGACCCTTCTGCCGGTTTGAGCCGTCCCCACTCACGCCACACGCCACATCGGACTCGGGAGCTGCGTTTCAATGCCGCCCGACGAGCTCAAAGCACGACAGCAAACACGGTCGGTGACTTGACGCAAGGACGGGAGGTCGAAATCAGACTTATTAAAAGTAGGTCCTTTTGCTTAGATCCGATTTACATTATGCAAAATCTTCAACCACATTGCCGGTACCAGCTGCCGGTTATTCTCAGAGCTGAGCCTGTTGTGTGGCTCAAAGCATGCTGTGTTGACATTAATTTTGTGTTAAAATTTGGGCCATGAAGAGATTTGTGGGTCGGCCTCACCAGAAGTTGATGGCGGATTCCCATTGTCCTGTAACCATTAGGCTTTACTACAACTACGAGACAGCTCTCCTAGTTTCGAGTCTATCGTGCCACTTCACAGACCTCGTTAGGGCTTAAACTCTTTCTTTCCAGAGCTTCAAGTTAACTCTTATTCAAAGAGATTAGCTGGTTCTATCCTACAAATTACATATACTTACCATCAGAAACAAAAATATATGGATATATGTATCCTATTAAAATGGATTAGTTGATGTGACGAAACAGTCGTGGGGGCCCATTTTAAGGACACCATTGGTTGATCAGTGTTTTTACGAAACAGGTGAACACCGATGCATCTGTGTCTGTCACATGTCAGACGAAAAGTTAGCCCATGTTGATTGGGTTCGCAGAATGGTGAGCTGAAGACTTCTTCGCACATTCCGAAAGTCTTTACTCCGCGGCGCTTCTCCTTTGCTTTCCGATGAGACCATTTTACGAATTTTCGCCAACCAAATTTTCTTTCGAAATAGAAATTCATGTCACACTAAAAGCAATTTTTCTCTTCAATTCGTCCCAGGAATACTAAAGATCACTACCATAAAGGACTCTTCACTCCTACTAGGAATTATTCTCTTTTAGGCGTAAATATGAAGACCGGACAAGGTGCACCCAACAAGGTCGCCCTGACAACACGACCAAGTTGCGAAAACGAGGTCTTTTGTTTTAATGCGACGATCACAACTCGCAAGATCTATTCATATCAGTGTGGGAAAATTCAACTACCATCCCTTCATCACCTTAAGCGACATAGGGTGAACACGACTCATATATCTGATTTAATGGCATACTCGAAAACCTACTCGCTGACGAAAAGTCTTTCTTCACCTTCAAGTGAGGCCAATTTACGAATCCTCTTTACTCACCCTTTAAAACGAGGTGATAGACGAATCAACATCTGCTCCTCTTAGGTTCACATCAGTTTCACACTTATTTCAACATGCCCAAACTGAACCGTAGTTGAACTGTGAAATGACTAGTAAGAACTTTCAGGCTCAACGGTTTGACACTTGTCGCAGAATCCTCAGCATTCCATGAGAGACATCTTAAAGAACCATGAAAGTTCTGCAGTGCATGAAGTGCTTGCATCCTATTCCAGCCTTTCTGCGGCCATACAATGCTTGGATGGGCCAAAGAAAGCTGGTCGCGGCTCAGCTTTGCCCGAATAAGAAGATCATTCGGCTTTGATTTGCAGTTTACTTAAACATTTTAGGGAGCAATTTTTAGAGGGATCATCATCTGCTTCTTGCTAACCACATTTTTAGATACCCTATTCCGGGGGGTTGTCTTTTGATACGCTTAAAGTGCCAAATTTTCTGACTAAATCCACTCTGGAATCTGATTTCGCAACCGATGAGGATTCAGTTAGTACAAATGAAATATATGAAATCCGATCAACGGGTTAGCCGATGCTGTCACAGAGAAAGCCTCTTAACAAGCTCTTTTCGGCGTTCGGTGTCACTGGCTATTTGGGTTTAAGAGAAATTGCACAAAAATCCCGCAAGTCTTATACATTTTCCTTCTAATTCCTGGTGCCTTTCGCATAAAGAGTCATCACAAGTGAAGTTGGATACAAAATCCTATACGATATGAAAAATTTTAAGAGTTTCATACTCGCATGGTGAATTTTGATGAAAAACTGGCCACTCAAAACTACCTATTCAGTCAATTAGTTACTCCATTCCAGATTAGATTAAGTGATCCTGTTTTGAGTATGCTTTAAACTTAGTTCATAACTTGTTTCAAGAGACATAGATTGGCTGAAATATCATTCAAGCATTACAGATAATTAAGAAATATACTCAAATCAATATATAAACAAATCCAAAGAGTGTAATCTCAAAATAATGTTCGCCTCATCAACAATCCCACTATAAAATAGTATTTACGAGAGGTCCGGCTTTCTGATTGAACCACTGGGATCTTCGGCCATTGGCGGAATGGTAAAAGTTCACCACTCTGCGCCCGATATGGATTCGAATCCCGTTGGAGGTGTTGGTGGTCGACGGTGAGGTGAGGCCTAAACTGCGATTAAGTCTTAAAAAAACCGTTTTTAATGCAAAGGCAGGTGAAATTTGATGGCATTTTGATGTGTATTTATTTTGTTGTGGAATGTGAAGGTTTCATATATTTGCCTCCCGAGAGACGACACTGAATGAGAATCGGATTGTACTAGTGACTCCAAATTTGCGCATACAAGTCTTCGGCGTTCTATCATAGAAATCATGACCAGCTTAGTTTTTGTTGAAGTTTTGATTTTGCGGCGAGAGGAACGTAAGCCCAGCACCAATTCATCTGATACGTAGACCTCCGGTTTGATAAAAAGCTGCAATTGCCGCGCGGTTTTCAGTATAGCCAATGCATGAATTCCCTTTAGCCAACATTTTATGTGAAATAAACTAGTTAATTGAAGCTATGAAGACCAAGATGTTGTGGCCTCTGGTATGGTCGCACTTCTATAAACTAGTTAAGTTTCAAGGAATCTCTCGGTTTATACTTGCTGAGCTCTCTTATAATTCGAGCTATTTTTGATTCACAAAAATGCCAACCTGCTCTGGTGCTAACCGTCGAAAGCTTCACACGTTTTCGCTGGAATTGATGAAAGTTACCTCGACAATGTTGACAGAAAAATCACAATTAAGTTAATCTACAGTTGACCAGGAGGAATCCGCTTTCATCTGCTGATGGGACCGATCTTCGAATCTCTCCATCATTCACACTTTTACCCAAAATGGAAGTGATCTCAACACTCAAACTAGATGTTCAATAACATAATTTTGTTTAAAAAGGCCTGGAAGCACAACTTCATTTAAGTCATTCTCACTTAAGCTTTGATACAATTTCATTATTATGACGGCAGGAATAAGCCTCATTTATACTGAAGTGTTGGAGTTTATTTTATCCCGGAAAATGAATTATACCAATTTGAGGAGTTGAGGACCTTTAATATCTTGGCAGCACAAAATCAGAAACGCTAAAAAGTGGCAACAACCAGCTTTATCTACAACTTGATGAGTGTGTGGTTCAAAGAGGCGTTGTCTCTTTGGCTTAGGCTCGTAGCAGTTCCAGTCACCCACGGTCACATAAAATAATTGTAGGTGAATAGCTGCATTTTTGCACAGTCATATGATTGGGCCTCATATTCCCATTTACTTTCGCATAACCTTGCTTCCTTGAAGGTATTCACGCCCAGGCTGGAATGGACTTCAGTTTCGACCTCGCCTTGGTCTCATCAGTACCCTCAGCGGGACTCTAAACTCGGTTTTAGAAGATGTATTCACCCAATTTCGTTTAAGGTGATGAAGGACTGGTACAAGTAGAATTTTCCCACAAATGATATGAGTTGAGCTGATGTTGTCATTGAATTTTACATAGCTTTGTTTTCCCAAAAGTT